TGGCAAGGTTTTGTGATACACGGTGTGATCAGGAATGCTGCTAAGCTGTGCCTTCCCAGATCTGCCTTTGCATTCCTAGACATTGCTTTTGGGGTTTTCTGGCAGGAGACTATAGCCTATTCCTTGTTTGGTTGCTACTGGTTAACCCGTTCCTAAATTTTACTTTTTTCCCCTAGTTTCTCTAGGTATTAAAGAAAGGAGATTCTAAGATCTGTCCTATTTTCTCATTTTTATGTTGAAGATTTTTTTATTTTCCTGTGAAAGTCTTTAAATGAAAACAGATTGATTTGAATGGACTTATGTATACTTGTTTAAAATGGTTAAGTAACCAGAACTGGATGCTCACTCACAAGTTCAAAGGAATATATTAGATCATATTTTCAGTTTCTGTGTATCAAGAATGTGTAAACAGAATGTGAACCAATAGTATTAGGGTGTATTCATGACACTAAAATGCTTATACCAAATCACTGAGAGTAGAGTAGTGTCATAGTTAAGAGGCCGCATGTCATTTCTAAATAATAATATTGGGGCTGGCCCGGTGGCACAGTGGTTAAGTGTGCACATTCTGCTTCAGCGGCCCCAGGGTTCACTGGTTCTGATCCTGGGTGTGGACATGGCACCGCATGGCAAACCGTGATTTGGCATGTGTCCCACATATAAAGTAGAGGAAGATAGGCGCAGATGTTAGCTCAGGGCCAGTCTTCCTCAGCAAAAAGAGGATTGGCAGCAGATGTTAGCTCAGGGCTAATCTTCCTGAAAAAAAAATTAAATAAATAAATAAGTAAATAATAATATTGAGGCCACATGTCATTGACTAAATTCACTTTTGGTTTTTCTATTTTGTTGACAGTATTCAAAGTACTAGAATTTTGATTCATTAATTTTATCTACCATTTTTCTATTCTTTACCTCATTAATTTTATGTGTATGTCTTTATTTTATTTCCTTCTTGTACTTTCTCTTGTTTTACTTTGCTTTCTTTTTCTAGCTTTTGGAGTTTGAAATTTAAATCAATTATATTTTGGGGGCCAGCCCATGGCTGAGTGGTTAAATTCACATACTCTGCTACAGTGGCCTGGGGTTTGCCAGTTCAGATCTTGGGTGCGGACCTACACACCACTCATCAAGCCATGCTATGGTGGCATCCCACATAGAAGAACTAGAATGAGTTACAACTAGGTTATACAACTATGTACTGGGGCTTTGGGGAGAAAAAAATCAATTGCATTTTTTAAATTTTTGTTGACAGAATGTTAATGCGTATGCATTTTCTTCTGATCATTGCTTTAACTCTCATAGATTCTGATACATAGTGTTTTCATTATCATTATTTTTCATAACTTTTGTATTTTCTCATTGTATTTGGCCATTCACTCAAGAATTGTTTAGTTGAAGCCTTTTTTTTTTTTTTTTTTTTTTTTTTGCTGAGGAAGATTCAACCTGAGCTAACATCTTTGCCAATCTTCCTCTATTTTGTACCTGGGTCACTGCCACAGCATGGCTGATGAATGGTATAGGTCCTTGCTCAGGATCTGAGCCTGTGAACTTGGGCTGCTGAAATGGAGCATGCCAAATTTAACCACTATGCCACAGGGTGGCCTCTTGAAGGGGTTTTTGTGATCAGTGTTTGCAATAGCTTCATTTTATAAAACTTACTGATATCTTCCTTGTAACTCAATACATGATCAATTTTTGTGACTGTTTCCTATTTAATTGAGGAAAAAGTATATTCTCTATTGTTGGTTTTTAATATGTATCCATGAGATCTGCTTTATTGATTATGGTGTCTCAATATTCCATGTCTTTACTTGTTTTAGTCTACTTGGCTTGTCTTGCACTGCAAATATTGTGTTAAAGTCTTTTATTATTATTCTATTTATTCTGCCTACATCTCTTACATCTTTACATCTTATTTTGCAGTTTCAACTTTATTTAAATGAGGCATAGATATTCATAATCGTTGTAGCTTCGTTATGATTTATGGATTTTTAACTTCAGAAAATGGCCTTTTTTTGTCTTGTTTACTGCATTTTGACCTGAATTATTTTTTGTCTGATAATAAGATCTCAACTCCTACTCTCTTATTGTTTCCATATTCCTGACAGGCTTAAAATGTATGTATTTTTGACTACTGAAACAAAGCTAAATTTTAGCATAGAGTTAAACTTTGCTTTATCAACCAATCTGGAAATCTTTTTTTAAATAAGCTAGCTCAACTTATTCATGTTTATTGATCTGACAGATATGTTTGATCACAACTCTGTATTTCTTATATAATTTTTGTGTATATTATGTTATACTCATTGTATTTCTTTCTCCATTTGGTGTCCCTGATTTTCTAAAATTTCTTTTGTAATTAAGAAGGCTTTGCACCTTTGTTCCAATAATTCTCTTTTTATTTATACCTTTAATAATGCTTGCTGGTCTTACTTAACCATTTACTATCTGGTTTGTCAATTTTAAATGGTATCCTTTGTCACGTACATTTTACCTACCAAAAAATCAATAACCTCATTCTACTTTCCCCTTTCTCTCCCTTCTCCATCCACTTATTCATAGTTTTATCCTTTATACTCTGTCAGAATACATAATGCTTACATGCTGTTCTCCCACCCCTCTGTGTCCTTACTCTTGTTTTAGTCTTGGTTCTACAGTTAAATATATTAAATACCATCAGTCTTTTTGTTGAAGTTTCTCTAATAATCGCTTTGGTTTGATGAAATGCATCGTATCATACATTTCTCAGAGAATCAAACTTTGTACAGAATTCCTGAGTTTTTTAATGCTTAAAACTATAGGCTTGATACTAAATATGATGGTTGACTTGAGGAAACATATTTGTGCAATTTTTTTAAGGTGCAAGCTGAACTGGCCTTTTTTTACAAGAAATACCATTTTTACTTGAAAGACAGCTGGTAGACCAACTCTACTTATTTAGACTTGGATATTTAGCTTCAATTTTCTCAAAAATTAAACTGAACTTTCCACTTTAAGAAAAACAATTGACAATAGTTGTTGTCAATGATAAAATTCAGCTTGTAAGTAAAAATAGAATTTTGGAAAACTTGTATCAACCTCCCTGAAGTTGACAGCTTCTCAATATTCAAAGAACTTTTTGATGGTATTTTTGGTAATATTAATGTGCTTTTAATATTATATGAAATGTGTCAACATTTTGAAATCTGCATACCTCAGTGAAATAGTATTTTCCAAAATGAACACTATATGGTGTTACCAATTCAGGCATAGTTAAAAGGTTCATTCGAGGTGCAAGATAGACTGATGTATTTTAATGTCACAATGCAAAAAGTTCATTGATATAGTTTCAGAGTCCACATTTCCACTAATCTTTAAGAAACTACCACTTGTCAAGTTTTAATATACTATCAAAGATTGTCCACAATTATCTAAAAAGGATAGTAAAATATTCATTCCTTTTCCAACTATATATATCTGTGTAAGGCAGGAATTTCTTCACATATTTCAACTAAAACAACAATTGAACTGGATTTAATGCAGAAACAGGCATGAGAATCCAGCTGTCCTCTACTAAGCCAAGCATTAATTAAATTTGAAAAAATGTAAAATAGCATTCCTATTTTTGTTGTTGTTTTGGAAAATATATTTTTCATTAAAGTACTTATTCATAGATATATTATTGTCATTTTAACTGAATTAATCAATAAATCTTTTTAAATATCTAATTTTGAATTTTAACTAAAATTTTTAAGTTTTTAATACTGATAGCTGTAATCCACACAAAGTTTCTTTGAGGACCCTCCACTTTTTTTAAGAGTGTAAAGAAGTCCTGAGACCAAAACGTTTGAGAAAAAATGATCTACATCCATATTTAAAGACCTTCAATAAATTCCTATGGTTCTAAAGGTAAAAACCAAATTCTTAACATGGCATAAATTAAGAATATATTATAATCACATAGACATTTATTTAGTTCCTCAGTACCATGATGTTCTCTTTTATGAACACACTGTTCCTTCTCTTTAGAATGTTCTTCCTTATCCACTTCATCTGGTTAATTCTTTCTCATCCTTCTGGTTTCAGCTCAAGTAGCACTCCCCTAGGCTTTCTTGTCACCATGGTCTTGTACTTCAGAATGTTTTCTCTTTCTCATTATACATTTATTGATGAAAATATTTCATTGGTGGATTTCTTCCCAATAAACAGAAGAACCATAAAACCAACAATCTTGCATGTTTTTGGCTCACAGTATCTGTTCTTCCTAACAGAGTGCTTATTACAGAGTAGAGTGGGAAATAAAATATTTGTTAGTGAATGAATAAGTAGATGAATATACGAATTGACGGAGCAAAGTGTGACTCAATAAAGAATTTGACCTTGCATGAATAGCTTCTTCAGCAATGTAAAGATCCAAGATAAACACTGGAAAGAAATACATTGAGTTCACTTAAATCACTCATTGTATTTTCCTTTGTGAAATTTTATTACTATATATTTTGTTGGCTATTTCTTTTACAAAGGAAATAGAAAAAGAGTAGAAATAAGAGATAATGACAATTTTATACAATTTAGTTGTGTTAGTAAGTGTTCTTGAGTGAGCCTGGTAATGAGCAATTCTTGGTAAATGACTTCTTGTATTTCACATAACTTAGTTTATTTCTTATGTTATATTAGAATTCTATTTTTTTATGTATGTCTGTCTTCCTATAGTCTCATCTATTACCTCTTTTGACCTAAAAATCTATAGTTGAGTGTATAGTTGCAACACTTATCTACTTGCATTTCCTCCAGACCTCACTTGTTACTTGCTTATCTTTGTTGAAAGTGTATGATTTATCAGTCTCCCCATGAACTTTTCATGCCTTAAGGGCTTTGACTGCATTTTATTCATTTATGTATCTGTAGGATGCAATAAGATGTTTAGCACTTGATAAACACTCAATAAATTAATATATGAAAGAATTGTTGTTAATAAATAGCATTACATATTCCTTAACATTTTTATTAAATTCTTCCAGTTAAAACTCAGGTAATGGGAGAAATCAAGATTGCATTGAAGAAGGAAATGAAGACAGATGGTGAACAACTAATAGTTGAAATACTCCAATGCAGAAATATCACCTACAAATTTAAATCTCCTGATCACTTACCAGGTATCTAATTTTATGATAATGAGCAATATAATATATCTAGGAATTCATTAGGAGTATGTCCTAAATATTCTGGAAGGTGGTAACTAAAATTTGGGCTGTACACCAAATATATCTGAAAATGTGAAATAAGAATTAAGTTCTCTTATATAGAACAAGTTATACTTTACTAGTTAAAAACTAGATTTTTTTTCAACATGTCAACCTAGAGTGAGGTATTTATTATACAAGAGGAAAAAAATTTAAATTGCTAAAAAATTGGTGTATCTTTTAATCACTCTATGTTGTCTGAAACAAATTGTTCACAGTCTGCTAGCTTTGAATGAAATGTGGGAGAGCTCTCAATATACAATTAAAATTTTTTCAATAAAAATCATAGGAATAATGGACACTTAACAAGCTGAATTCCTATTTTCAGATTTATATGTGAAAATATATGTGATGAACATCTCTACCCAAAAAAAGATGATTAAGAAAAAAACAAGAGTATGTAGACATGATCGAGAGCCTTCATTCAACGAAACTTTTAGATTCAGCCTAAGTCCTGCTGGACATTCTCTTCAGGTAACTCTGTATAATATAGTTACTATTTTAAAATTTTCATTCATACTATATTTATTTTCCATTCAATTATTCAATATTTATATAGCAATAATATACTATGTGATATTTTACAAGTTAATTAATTCTTAGAGGTATCTTCCCAGCAGCCCTTTAAAATTCCACAGCCCACCCACCCTATCCAATTAGCTACCAAGTCTTCTCTCTTCTGTCTGCTCAGTTTATTTTATATAAATTTATTTCTGTGTTCACTGCCACTAATCCCCTCTGGGTTCTCATGTTTATCACTCAAATTATTTCAGCAGTGTACTTGGCCTACTTGCCATCAATGTCTTACTCTTTTAATTTATTTCATTACACTGCTGGCAGAAGTATCTTTTAAAAACACTGGCTAGGTTTTGTTAAAATCCTTCTGTGACTCACCACTATTCTAATTCATTCAGAGTTCTCTAAGGTGAGTTCTGATTCTCTTGATTTAATCTCATTGCCTTGTGTACTTTTCCACTCAATCTATTCTTCAGTCACACCAGAATCTTTTCAAATCAGGTTAAGCCTCCAATCCTTTGCTCATATTTTTCCTCCCGTTTAGTACTCTCTTCTCCATGTCTCTCCATCTATCACAATACTCCACATCTTTCAATATAAACTCAGTCTTTTACTGATGAATGAAGATATAATTCATCACACTGTATTCACATAGCATTTTGCTTATCTTATCACACTATCATCCCAGCCTGTCTTGTACAATAATTTATATACCTACCTGTCACTGCTTCTGCACTATCAGCTTCTCTAGGGCAAGGTTTGATTTTCATTGTTCTTTGTTCTACAGCCAGCACAATGCTTGTACATAGTATGTCTTCAGCAAAGGTAGAGACAAGGAAAGAAAGAGGCAAAAAGAGGAGGGAGGGAAGAGATGAAAAAATATGGGAGGAGCAAGACCATGGTACTGGCACTTAAAACAAAGGCCTGGACTGGAGACAAATATAACAGATATTACAAAGCAAAAATTGCATTGCGAGGATTAACTGACATTAGAATGGAAAGGAATAAAAAAATTAAAGGCAACTTTGAGGTCTGTATGAACAAATATGTGATTCACAGAAATTAAGTAGTTAGAGAGAGGACCGAGAGTTTGTCTGAAACGTGATAAATTTGATAAGAAGGCAGGCTTCCAGTGAATATATACAATACCATTTGAATCCCCAAACTAGAAGCCAGAAGAAACAGTCATAATTGGAAATGTAGATTTTGAAGTCAGAAACATAAAAGTAAAGTTTTAGCCAGGAATAAAGATGAATTCCCTGAAGGAGATTCTGAAAAGAGAGACAGCAAGAGAGAAGAATTGTCAAGAATTTTGGTTAGCTCCCCCTAGTGCTCTCTACCTTTCTTTCAAATCATCTCTAAAAGAAAAAATTCCTGAGTTTGAGATCATATGGAATTTCAACTAATATAAGTTCTGCATATGACAAGAAACCATTTTGGAGTGCCTACTATAGTAAAATCACCAGTAAATGAAATGTTAAATAAAATCAATGTATATATATCTATATATATCTATAATATGCATTATATAAATAATAATAAATCATAAATAAAAAATAATAAAATCAATATATATATATCTGCCTTGTGAGCTCCTATTCATTTACTCAGCACTCAAATAATTTTGTATCTGAGTTAATATTTCATAAACTAGTAGAAAATGTGCCTAGCAAAGTTCTTTTGTGAAACTTTCTATCAGTTTAAAGATACACCTAGTTAAAATTAACTATTAATACACATCTTATCTAGAATGCTCATATCCTTCAGGTTGTGTCTTCTTTGTATTTCTTTGATGATCAAATGTCCTTAAAAGAGGTTGAAAAATATATACCTGTCTATATACTTTTGGCTATTTTTTCTAGATTTTACTTTTCTCCAACGGAGGGAAATTTATGAAAAAGACCTTGATTGGTGAAGCCTCTATCTGGCTTGACAAAGTGGATCTCAGAAAAAGAATAGTCAACTGGCACAAACTTTTGGTCAGTCCTACTCAAACCCATTGAATAAATGTGTCTGCTCAGGGTATAGAAACTGCTGTAAATAATCTCAAATCAAGACTATAGTTGGATACTATTGTACTAAGCTCTGTTTCCAGGGGTAAACATGAGAGGAGGAACAAATGGCAAAAGCATACTTAAAAGCCTCGTAAATGTATTATTATGTAACACAGGAAAAAACTCAAATGAAAAAGTTCATATATTGAAGTCAAAAAGAGGAGCTCTGAGTCCTTGGATTTCTTGTGGCTGTCAAGATAAACAGTGAGAAATTTTGATTTCTTGATGCAAATATCTCAAAGCAGAGTTAGCTATAGCTAAAGAAAGAGGTTCAGATTAATATTGTTTCTAATGCAAAGATAAAACTTTATGCAAAAGCATCTTGGTTGAAAGGAAAGAACTGATGTAACAAACCTCAATTTTCAAAAGTCCAAAAATCTTTCTTCTTTATCTTATTTTCTCAAACAGCTTACTGTTTTGAGATTCTGACATAGGATACACTTACAGTATATGTCCAAGACTAGAAGTATGGTGGTTGTGTTCACAAGGAAAAGGGAACCGGTGGTCTATAAATTATGGCTTTTAGACCATATTGTACAGGTTTTCTCAGTGTCTAAATGTTACAAGAGTGAATAACACCAATTTTGGAATCCACGTTGTAAAAGCACATTTATATAATTTGAAATAATGTAGAGTGAAGATAATAGTAAGTAGAAATGGAATTACATTTTATATAAATAGAGCCATAACTGGCTAACAAAGAATGTTGCCCCACAAAATATTGGAACCTTGATTGAAAACATTGAAATCCCTATAACTTACTCTTAAGCCAAGATATTTTCAGTCTACGTACCAAAGGACCTAGATTAAATTGGTATGTTCTAGGAAGCATGACAACTTGTTCTTTGTGGAATTGCAAATAAATGTATTATCCTGCATATTTCCTTTCTCTTAACTGATGTATTAACAGAGAGAAAATTCTTCCTCTAGCAAACAAATCACATTGAGTGACAACCTTGTGACATTGAGTAATTAAATTGGTGTTATTTCCTACTCTTCCATAATGATTTTTTCCCTTAACACATTAAGTGATTGTATAATGAAAACCCTGAAACCAAACTCAAGTTCTCTCTAGTGCTCCATTTTCCTCCTCTAGTGACAATATCAGTGATTGAGTTTATCAGTGTTGGGAAAATATGTGAAAAGTCAACATTTCAGGTTAAAATATAATTTAAGCTATTTTAATAATATAGAATAAAAGGACCGATGTCTAAGTGATTAGAATGAAGTATCCTCTTCTCTATCAACAGACAACATTAACAAAGGCAGTAACATGGAGTTGTAGGAAACGCACTCAGCTGGGATTAAAAGCCTGGCTTCTGTTCTTGGTTCTGCCACTGACTGATTGTATCACCTTGCACATGTCACTTAAACTCACTTTTCCCCAGTTTTATTATTTGTGGGATAAAAATAATTATATATTCCTAGCCTTCCTAATGGGATGTTGGGATGATCATACTATGTAATCTATAAGAGAAGATGAAAGCACATTTCCAAATATAGTTTTATACACATATGTGAGGAATAATTATTCTGCAGCTTTTTAATTCTCACATTTTATATGTGAAAACGCATCTTCCAAAACAATGGCAAGCATTGACATGGATAAAAGCAGCATATTAGCTCCAAAACTAATTTTTTTCTTTAAAATATAAACTTTTATTTAACTTGAAAAAAAGGTAAAGAAATAAATGAAAATGATTTTCAAATTGGTTTATTATAAATTAAAAGAATTATACTGATCTTATACTATTCCCATATCCTACTACAAAATAAATTAATTAAATTGCTTCTCAGAATATTCTCAGTTTAAAAGCTGCTTCTTTTTTCAAAGTTTTAGTAGGTTTAGAGAATCATCTCCAAATATATTGGTTGGATATTGAATGTTCTCATTTTTAAAGAAAAACAGACTTTAAATTTGAGAGGAATGGATTAAACGTAAAACATTAAAAATAAAAACATTTCTAATAAATCCTAGGGTGCATATCTATTATATTCATAAAGAAATACAAATTTATTCTTCCTCAAGCTAAGAAAGATAACAGTCACTTTTCTTCCCTCTATTTTGTATCCCCCCTCCCTTGATAATGCAATGTCATTTACCATTGATATTGCTTTAAAACGAACATGTGGGGAAGAGATCACTAAAGATTTGATATTGCTAAGATTTTATATTTAGAGACAAGTAGATCTGCTGATGGTTGCCATGAATATTTCCAGCAGAAGTTAGCACTTTAGGAAGCTTATAGAAATCACTCATAATTGGGGAGGAAAGGATTCAGGAAGATCTGACATAAAAAGGCTCTGCTATTTGCCCTTAAAAGGAAACTCTGGCTGACCTTAGGTCCTCTTCTGCAGCTGCTTACATGCATGAGAGGATGTATGGCCAGTTAGTTTACTTCATTCCAGTTGCAATTTCTTTTAGAATAAAACAAATGGAGGTGCCACCAAAACAAAGATCATCCCTTGGTAGCTGTTTGATCTGAAAGAGTAGAGTCTTTCCATTATACGTGCCCCTCTGTTCCACAGAACTAGTAATGGGGCCAGGTCAATCAAGAGAGTTAACCACAGGGCTTCTTTTTGTGCACCAGCATCCCCCTTCAGAGAGCATAAGATCCTGCCAAAGTGTGCCAAGTTTGCAGCTGACCAAACTCCTAGGTTGTACTGGAATTATTCTATGCAACACTGATCCTTAAACAAATGCATTTCTTCTGAATGATGTTGATTACCCTTCTTACAACAAAACGATTTCTTTTTTAATTGCAAATAGGGCTCTTGGTATTTTTTACTTTTTTTATATATCACAGCACATGATTTTCCACTTTTTATTTTATTTTATTGGAACCAGCTTTTTTTTATCCTGCTAGTGACAAAGTTTGTAATCTCTAAATAACATATGATTAGTCCAAATACAGTACTTAAACCTTAAAAAGCATCTTAACTTTTCCCACAATTTCATTGAGTCATCAGAGACTGAAGTTGCTTGTTGGTTTAAAATTTGGTCCTAAAGAAACTTTTAGCTGTAGAAGCAAAAGCACAAAGTGAATTTTTACAAAAGACAGGGATTTATAGATCGGTTGTTATAGACAGAGAGAACACTAATAGCAAGAAGTTGGTGTTTCCCTGTTTTTACCTAAGATTATGGAGGTTTTGGTAACTCTGAACTCATTATTTACCATTTCAGTTTAAAAGAACAGTATCCAAGACTAAGGGGCAGTGATTGTCTTTGCTCCTTACTATTACCCATATTGTAATTAATCACACTAAGAAATGCATATTTTCAGCATATCAGTGGACTTAATTTTGTGGATCACACACATTAAAATAGTCATATTGTGGGAATATTATAGCTGGTAACCAGCTGATATTGATTCTTATTATAGGAATGGTTGTGATGATAGTGGTGATAGCAGTAGCGACACTAGGTTGGTGGTGATGTGAAGTAAAATTATATACTATATTGTGCCCAATTTATTAGAAATTATTCAATCAATGTTTCATTTCATTAAGATATCATAAAGATGTTTATAGTATTTTTTTACTTTATTATTTAAATCATAACTAACAATATTTTTAAAAGGTTATTTTCATTGCTACAATGTCTAAGATTCCAAAAGCAGCCAACTACAGCTATATATGTGTTTATAACTCTATGTGTGACAGAGTGACTTTCCCTCTTTTCAAGCCTGAGATGGAAGTGAAAGAAAGTTCAATGAATAATTATGAGCTGTCTCTTTAATAATTACTTGCCTTTGATGTAATATAAGAATGAATGAGCAAACAGATATTCTCATTGAATATGACACATTGATGTTTTGTGTATGGTCCATGTTGTTATTATTAAAGATACCCATTAAATCAAAATCACTTAACCAAATGATTCCTTATCTGACAGGTAGGTTGAGAGCATTTTCTTAATTCGTTACCGTGTACATAACTATACCTTTGGTAAAATAGACAAAGTTGAAATATTAATTTCATCTGGCATTCAGCATGTGAATATGATTATCGTTTGATTGTGTCTGTATAGTTGTTGGTGATGTGCTCAGGTGCTCCTACTACTGATTAACGTATGTTCTGATATCCGAACAAAAACACAACTGATGTTAAAGGAAAAAAATTCTTGTCTGAAAAATAATAACCTAATAAAATTGATTTCAAAATAAAAAAATAAAGTCTTGGATATGTCTTGTTTCTAGCTATATGTTGCATGCCGTGTTGGTGATTTCCTGTGTTCTTTTTTTCTGTTCTACACAAATCTCTCTGGAAAATCTAATGAACAAATACAAATTCTTGGACAAAAAGGTTGTATAAATTGAACTCAAATACATGAGAATTGTATTAAAAAATGCTTGTAAATCTGTCTTGAGTTTTACTCTGTGTAAAAATATGTCTTGGTTTTGTGATTGTATACAAGATGTATCTTGATAACTTATGCAAATTGTGCTCTATAAAGGCTGTTGCCTCAGCCTTACTAATAAATATTGAAAATATCAACTTTGACTTCTTGTGTTTATCAATTTGATAAATTGATACTTAATATAGAAATAGAACTTTTCAGAATATTTTTCTCTGAAAATTATATCATAAATACATTCACTCACCCAGTTTAAAAAATATATTTTAAACTCAGCACAGATACAGAAAACAGAATTAAACAAATATGTAGCTTAATAAATTATTATACAACAGACACTCTTGTAACAACTGCCCAGATCAAGAAAGTGAACTTTGCCACCCATCTCATAAAACCTGTTTAAACCATCTCTATCACAACTCCCTCCCAAAACTCCTAACAACTACGCTGATTTTTATGATAATTATTTCCTTGTTATCACTGACAGCTGCCTAGTAAACACTAGTATAGTTTTTCTGTTTTATTTTTAGTGTGTTTTCTAAGCCTCTTTTAATCTACGCATTCTCTTCTCCATTCCTTCTTTTTCAGTGAATCTTATTTTTTGAAGAAACCTGGTTTTTCTTCCTGTTGGGTTTCCTGAAATTTGGATTTTGCTGATTGCGTGCTCATAGTGTAGTTAACAAGTTCCTCTGCCTCTGTATAGCCTGTAACTTGGTCTTTTGCTCCACAGATTTGACTTGATTCATGTTCAAGCTCTCACAAATGGTGCTGCATTCTTCCATTAGGAGGCACATAATGTCTGGCTCACTCTCATTTTCCTGTTTAAGGCCACTGTTCTCAGTGCCTAGAATAAATCCATTAATTAACTAGATGTTATAAATGGGGGTATTCTAATTCAATCATCATTTCCTCTTGGAATACTTTTAAGAAGATAAACTTTCCCTCAACCAGTATTTGATTACCCAGTGGTATAGTTTATATAGGAAAGTTAGTAAAAGGCAAAGAAAGTTGGAAAATTTTCCTCTAGGTACTTAACATTTTTAAAAATAATAAATGGTTCCCTAGCATCCTCCACAGATGACCAATTAATTTTTGTTTTTATTTTCCTAATATCACTGTGAATCAAGGAATGAAACAAATTTGATGTGTTTTAATTCATTGAAGCTCTTCTTCTTAATGCTCCAATTTATGCTTTTTGGCCAATGGAGACATCTTTGAGTGAGCTTACATGTTTCTTATATTCCTTGGCAAATTTCTTTCTATGGCAAGAAAGTTATATATTATTTCTTCAACCTTAAAACAGTATAGGAGATCTGTTTAACTTGAATTTTTATTATTTTCCCTCTATTTATCTCTATAAAATAATTAAATTTAGGAATGCATTGACACTGAGTGATCAGCTTTTTTCTAATACACTATGGCTTCTCAACCTTTTGACTAAGATCAAGTGTAGTGTCAAGTGTAGTATCTAATATGCTTATGGTAAATGTTCAAGAGCCTTCTTAGGTGAAGTATCTCTTGGAACTTTTTTTTAAGATAATGCCAGATCTAAAAGGTTGTAATTAGATGAATGATTAGTAAGTTTGACTTTTTGACTATTTATTATCTAGGCATTTAAGAGCTGAAAATGCCTCACGTCTATAAAGATTTTGTAGTAAATTGAGCCAAAATAATTCTTTATTTAAAAGTATGATGGCAAAAAGGTTGAAATTTTTTCTCTCTGTTTAACCCACAACTCCAAATAAATTAAAAATTTATTTTAAAAGTTTAATTTAAAATTTTTTTTGGTGAAGAAGATTGTCAATGAGCTAACATCTATTGACAATCTTCTTCTTTATGCTTGAGGAAGATTGTCACTGAGCTAACAGCTGTGCCAATCTTTCTCTATTTTTTTTTTTTTTTTGTATATATGTAGGATAACACCACAGCATGGCTCATTGAGCAGTATGTAGGTCCATGCTCAGGATCCAAACCTGCAAACCCTGGGCTACTGAAGTGGAGTGCGTGAACCCAACCACAACACCACCAGGCTGGCTCATTTTTTATTTTATTTTCTGTTATATTTTTATTTGATTATTTGTAAAAGTTACAAAACAGTTCCATGAATTATTCAGTAAAAAATGACCTTCTTTGAAAAAATCAATAATATTAACAAACCTGTGGCAAATAAAGGATAAAGAAGGCCGAATTACCATTATCAGGTATGAGAAATTAACATCAATGTCAAGCTCCAAAGCCAAACCCAATCTAGCAATGTATAAAAGAAATAAGAAACATGAACAAGTTGAACTACCCACGTTACACAGATTATTTCAATGTTGGAAAATGAATTAAGGAAATCCAGTATATTAATATATTAAAGTATAAAAATCCTAAGATGCTGGGAAATATTTGATAAAATTCAAAATCCATTTATAATAAAAACTTTACAGCACACTTGGGATGGAAGATTGTTTAAAAGTGGCGGATGTTGTCTACCAAAAAACTTACTGGTAAAAGGATTGAAGGCTTTTCTTTTGAGACCAGAAACAATGCAATTACGCCTATTTTTGAATAAAATATATTTATTCATATATTTAATTTATTCATATTTCATGTATTCATATATTTTTTATATTCATATAAATATATTCTATTCAATATATTTACCAGAGTTGCTAGCCATTGTGTCAAGACAAGAAAAAAAAATACAGATAAAGGAGTAAGAAGTGGAGAGGAAATATAATTATCTGTAAATTATATGGCTTTGTGATTTGAAAATCCAAAACAATCAACGATTTGTTTTAAAATATATAAGAGAATTTGGCAAGTTTACTAGATATAAAAATTACACAGAAATAAATTTCTTCTCTGAATGTGAACAAAAAATAGAAAATGAAATTTTCAAGGCACATTTTTACTAGAATCAAAAGTATCAAACACCTAGGAATAAATTAACAACGAAGTTCAAGACTTCCACAAAGAAAATAATAAAATTTTATTGAGATATTAAATGACCTAAATACAATGTTCATTGATTGAAAAATTGAATATTGTAGTGATATTCAATTCTTCCAAATCACAAACCCATCGATTCAATGCAGTTAAATTTTCTAAATGTGTGTTGAATTTGATAAGCTAATTATAAAATTTGCATTGAAGTACAAAGAGCATAAGAATATTCAAGATGTTTAGATGACATTTCTACTTACAATGAAGAAAAGTTTCTGTTGTGGGGGCCAGATTTATTCTGTTGAGCTGGAGAACTTAATTTTCTGGTCTACCTGTGAAATTCAAGGAATTATTATCATCAATTTATTAGAGACTTTGAATGGTTCAAATATTCCCTTAAAAGGGGCTACTCAACTCTAGTGCTGTAGACATTTAAAAGAAAGTCATATACTAGGAGTTACTTCCTTTTAATAGTAGTTAGGACTTGCAGACTAAATGAATTATAGCTGCCTAGAATATTTAATTCAGTTATGCCTCATTCAGACCCTATCAACTCTTATTTGGATTTCATAGCAGCCTCTTAATGGCCTTGCTGCCTTGTACCCTTCAAATGTATCCTCCACATAGCCACCTGTGACCTTCTGAAACATGTATCTGAGCATAACATTTGCCTGCTTAAAACTTCTCAGGGGTTCCCATTGCCAAAACCATGGCCAGAAACTGGACATCATCCTTGACACCACCTTCTCTTTCACTCAAACTCAAGTTATTAAAAAAACTCCTCCTTTTATTTTTCTAATTCTCTCTCACACTTAGACTATTTCAAATGCTTTCTGTCTAATTCCCCACTTGCAGTGGGGAGTTGTTGTTCCATGGTTATAAAGTTTCAGCCATACAAGATGAGTAACTTAGAGATCTGCCATACAATATAGTGCCTATAGCTAACAATACTGTATGGTACACTTACAAATTTCTTAAGAGGGTAAATTTCATGTTAATTGGTTTGTTTGTTTTCATGTTAAGTGTTTTTCCACTAATGAAAGTGGGGGGAAACATAAGGAAACCTTTGGAAGTGATTAATACCTTGATTATGTTAATAGTTTCACAGGTATCCGTCTATGTCCAAACTCATTGAATCGTATCTATTAAATATGTGTTTTTTGGGTATATCAATTATACCTCGATAAAGCTGTTAAACAATAAAAATTAAAACAAAGTAGACTCTAAGGAAAAAGAGGTCAGGGGCCTAGAGGCGAGAAGAAGCCTTTCTAAAGTTTGGTTAAGGTGGGTGAAATGTTAAGGCCGTTTTGGTCACCTGCTTACTTCCCACTCAACCCCTGTCTTGAATACACACACAACGTGCACACGCACACATGCCCACACACAGATTTTCCTTTTCTCTGGAAAGGAAAGAGACAAAAAACAGGCAGAATCTAAGTCAGGAGAAATACTAACAGAACAGAGAGGTACATCCCTCTCAGAACTTTATAAGGAGGAGGGCTGGGAGTGAAGTGATGGCTCGTCAGGAAGTGTGGTGTAGAAAGGGAGAAGAGGAAAAAGGACTATGAGACCAGAATGGAATTGGTAGAACAACACACTATCGTGGCTGTCAGTATTCTAAAGGACAGGAGAGGTGAAAAGTCACTTAAATTTTCTTGGCTTTGTGTAAGATTCCCTTCCTGATTCTAGCATTCAGTCAACTATTTGATGAGTGGACCTTATTTCTTACAAATTCTGGCAGAACTTCCTTGTAATTAAATATTTTTGTCAGTGAATTTAATATAAAGTGATCAATATTATGTACCATAAATTTTACATAGTAAAAAATATTTCACAGTAAAAGACTATTGAATTTGTAAAGCATATAGGGAAGAAGGGGAAAATTATTCTCAGGTAAGCTTTTCTCACCTTTTGATCTCAGTATCATCACCTGAGTAATGAAAATACTTGCATTGACGAGGAATCTGAGAAGGAAAAAAAGTTTAAAGAAAATCAGTGTGAAATGCTGATTAGCTTGTGCCCCAGAAATAATCTGAAGTTTAGAATCTGAAATGGAAATAACCCTGAAAGTGAGCTGTTGTTATTTAACTGATCAAAAGCATATTAAAATTTTAAATGAGATCCTAGAGCTGAGGATAAATAAATAATCTCACCTCAAGAAGGTATATAGTAATCAAAGCAAGAGTGTCCAGAGGTGGAATAGGTTAAT